TGGCACAGAAAGAACGGCCGGTAATTTTAGACACAGACTAACATCATATGTTGGTGTCAAATTAAATAATAGGCTGTGCGGGCTTTCCTTTGGGCTCTGACTGATCCCAGCACTTGTCAGAGCTGCTTTCCTGGGTCCGATTTACGACGGGCTCGCCGCTTTCACGGGGTTACTCTGGGGAGGATGGGGGGGGGTGTGTGTGTGTGTCACAAAACCCCCAGAAGCTCTCAGATGCCTTCGTGGGTGTGGTGTGTGTGTGTGTGTGTGGGAAAAAAACAGATCCAGCTTCTTTCCTGTTCCAGGGCAATGTGACCCCGCCGGAGCAGCCCCGACCGCCTCAGCCCCCCCCCCCTCCCCGCTGCCGCCATCGCGAAGCCGCCCTGGGGCTCAGCGGTCACGCGTGGGGCAGCCCTGGGCTCTGACCCCCCCGACAGTCCCCAAAATAACGGCTTAAAAATCGCCCTCCGTGGCTGCGAAAGCTCCCCCCGTGTTGGCGAACCGTGGGGCCCCAGAGGCGCTCTCAGCATTGACGGGTGGGGGGGGTCTGTCGCTATGACAACCAATTCCCCCCCCCCCCCCCCCCCCAGCCCCTTTTTCTAGAATTGGATTTTTTTTTGTTGCTTATTTCGTTTTAGGAAAACTGCAACAATTAGGATAGAAAGAATATACCCTTCCCTCTATTAATTTCCCGAGAGAAACCCCAGGCAGGATGCAAAGGCGGGTAGCACAGATGCAGGTGTGCGCAAGAGGCAGCGAGGTGGTGGCTCCTCGAGCTGGTATCCCCAACTCCAGTTATTTATATAGCTTTCCTTAGTACAACTGTATGCTTTGTAAAGTAAAACTGGACATACACACACACACATGTGTGTGTGTATATATATATATTTAACCCAAATTATTCACCCAGCTCTCTCACACTACTTTTTCAAGTCTGACTAAAAGGGGACACAGACCTGAACTCTTACAGAGGGTTGAGGTTTATTACTTGCAGACCTAGTTTGATTTTTAACTGATGGGATTATCTAGATTATTATTCTTTTTTTAAATAGGAATGTCAAAAAGCTGAGTCAGCCATACCACAGCTATTAAGATCCCAAAACTTCCTCCTTAAGGATTGCTTACCCCTACTCTGTGCAGTCAGATGAATATGAGTTGTTTGTTCTGGCAGAGGGACAGACAGTCTGTTTTCCCCTACATGTATACAACTAATTTCAAGTCACCAGTGTTCTAGCTGGTGATAAAAGAGCTATCTTAAGCTTTTCACAGAACACAGTGACACTGTTAAATCAGCACAGCATTTTGATTAGCAGAAAGATGAGAGCTATACAGCTTAATGAGGAAAACAGTCAAAATCCCTTCTGTACTTAAAACTCCAGTTTCAAAGCAAATAGGTGGCCATATTTTTTGGTAAATTACAGATTTCCACCTTACTACTGATTCAAGACTATACTTGGCAATAGCCTACACTGTTTGAGTAAAGAAGAAAAACTGTTTTCGTGCTTTATTGCTCATTTGGTTAGACCTTCTCCAGTGGATGCGTAACAGGCAGCTGTGGGGTCACAGCCCATGGCCTTGGTGACTTGATGGACGCAAGGGCTCCAATAACTTTTCATTCAGGAGCTCTGAGGCTTACCCTTGGATCCATGTTTTCTTTCTAGCACTCTTGTCCTTGAAAGCAGGAGCCGGTGGTTCATCTGCTCTGTCCTTACCTCTGAGATTCTTCTGCGGTTTACGCATCCCCTTGTACATACATGTATGTCTCTTATCTCATCCTTCCCTAAGGTAGCACTCCTTATATTGCCAGGAAGGTTGAGTTCTCCTTTACCTTCTCCAAGAGCATTTTCTCAGTTTTGGGACAGAAGTGAGCCTAGGACCCTTTCCTGAACTTTCCATTCTGGTTATTGAGTGATCTTTTGATCAGCTGTAACCATGTGTCCTTTGTCAGGGTGTTTCCAGTAACTGCTATTGGAGGCTGATCCTAAGCTTAAATGCCTTCAAATGCCTTAAACTTCCTGGTAACTTCCAGACTAAATTTATATATAATGCATTTATGCCCATTTGTTCAAAGGCCAAAATGGTCTTTCAAGCGAAATAGGTTTTCCCCCTTCTGAGGTTTAAATCTTTACTGTGTTTGTCAAGAGCAGTCTTCTAACATCAGAGATACCAATAGAAGAGAAATATATTTACTAGCTGACATCTTAGTGAAAGTGGTTGCAGCACTTTGGAATTCATCATTTGCAGATGCTGTGACCCCACAGTGGTGTTTCTAGGATTGCTTTACAAAGCCAAATGGCCTCAGGCTGCACTCTGCATGATGGCATCCTATCACAGCGCTGTCCTGAAGGAACCGGTATGCAGCTGACAAAATCCTTAAGTGATGCAGATATGGGCGTATCAGACTCCTTATGTTAATTCAGACGTCCTTGCGTTTAGAAGGCTTCATGTGCTTATTCTCCTGATGCTGGGCTGTGCTAATCAAAATTACACACAGAGGAACTTGAGAGATGCTTAAATTACAGTTGACCCCCTTCTAACCTATGACTTTCTCTGAACTGAAAATTTTGGCCTGGTATGCCCTCAGAGACAAAATCTCAGGGGATCTCAGCTTGATAGGTAAGCTGAGTTAAATGTGATTCTCCATGCTGCTTGTGCCAAGCAGAACTGTTCACAGCCAGCCACGTCTGTTCACATACCCATACAGTGTTCTGGGTGTATTTAATGGACTATGCAATAACTTAAAAATCACATGAGGGGGTGGGAAGGTAAGGGATACTTAAAAGCAGAAAAAGGAATAGAGTGACCTGGTTCACATGCAAAAAGCAAGCAGAAAGAAATGATGGCTTATGCTAACAAAAATCAAGTTTGTATTTCCAGAAACTGTAACTGTATCTGTATGCCGTGGTCTGTCTGTGATGAGCAGAGTACATTCTGCACCATTAGTGGGGTTCGACTAAGACCAGTGACTCCGGTGAGATGACAGAAGTAGTGCTAAGCTTAGTTTAACACAGTCTGCAGAAGCAGCTCTGCACAGTTGCTATAACACTATGTTAAACTAGGCTAAACTCTGAATACTGCTATAGTTACTGCTTTTGGAACCACTCTGGATTCAGTCTGTCAGAATGTTCCTCTCCTTTACAAAATACATAATCTCATTTAAAATCATCTAGTTTCCTGAAAGCTAGTCAATGAGGGGGGGAAAAAGGCCGACAGAGTTGCCTCTTGCCTGCTGATGTAGTAAATTTACTGATTGCTTATCTGCAGTAACACCAATCACAATTTTTTTAGTTTATTTTTTAAATCATATCTATGCACGCCTTCTTAGTTCATACTGTCTTCTCAAATATGGGCATTTATATGTACTGCTTCTTAGGAAAGATCAGTTTCTGAAAGTGTATTTTTTTTTTTACTTTTTATTATTTTAAAAAAGCTTCAACCTGACTTCAAGGGGAAATCCCTCCCTCCTTGCCCCCCACCCCCCTCCTCCCCCCAAGCACCCAAAACAATTCTCCTTGTATCATTTCACCTGTTGGCATACCAGTGAATTTTGGGGTTTGAAAGTTCATGGGCAGGATTCCCCACCTGTCACATAGCAACATACTTTCCTAACACAACTCTAAAATGTCTGGTTAATCAGTGGACCTCAACTGTTAATGATTCAGTAGATGACAATTTTTCTCTGCATTAACACCCCAACAAGATTTTAGGAAAAAGAGACTGTTATCACTGAGATATAAAAGAAGAGCTGGGAGATATCACAACACTTCATTGTTTTTCAACAAAATGTTTCACTTTCTTAGTTTGAAACTGCTTTGGTTAAAAAGTGAACTGTGGTGGGGTTGTTTTTTGTTTGGTTTTGGGTTGTTTATTTTTTTAAAAAAGGGTAGGTGTGTTTAGTCATGTGAAATATTCCAGGTTTATCTGAAATCATATTTCTAAAGAAATTTGGAAAACCCGTTTCCTTGCCTTGGGGAACTGGTTTCTGCTCCCTGTCCTGATGTGTGAAAGCTAGTGGAGATTACTTAGACATAATTTCAACATGTGTCCTGCAGAAAGAAAAGTGTTCATTCTGGAGTTTTTGGCTGAAGTCCAGCACAGAAAATTGAAGTTCATCTTCCCAAATCCCCTCTGCAACTCTGCTTGGGTAAAGTCTTCTTCCACTCCCTGTACGAACTATTTTGCTGCTATTTTAATAGCTTCAGAGCTCTTCCACTAGCATCCATCTTAAATGATGAGCAAAGTGACCCTTTCGGTCTCTTGCCTAATTCGCACTGACTGTTCTGCCATTAGTTAGCTAATGATTTGTGAAATATTTTGTGATATACCTTGTGGTCTTCAACTGAGCAGTACTCCAAGAGTCTAATGTTAGTAGTAATGGTGATACATACGAAGTCACCATTGCATTTCTTCAAGCATTTCTTTCATTTAAGCGTGTTAAGTGGTTAAAAGCTTCTCCTGGATGTTGAAACTTTTAGTTTTTGGCAGTGCTAATGCAAGCATACAAGCAGAGCTTCCTCTTGCAGGCTTCCTCCTGCCAGCAGTTCCCGTTCACACCAGCAATCTCATCAGCTGCACACAGGCTAAATTTTGCAGCATACCACAGTGTACCCTGAGATCTTGATTTCCTCCCCGCCACTCAGAGCACACCTGAGCTTCTGCCCAGGGTTAGAGGGAAACCAGGGAGTGGAAGATGCTTGTGTGCATGTAGCTTTTGCCCCAGTGTAGCCCTGGGATGTGATCAGGGCTTACCCCTGTGACCCAGAACAAGTAAATGCTCCTACATGCATTAACATAACTGCAACTAGGGACGTAATTGGGATTATTCATGTTATGCCAACTGGGAGGATTGGAGCTCGGCTGCATGTGAGATCATATACACAAAGCCAGCTCAAAGCTCCCACTGATTTTGGAAAAGCCTGGATGTAAGATGATATCCTTACTACTGAGAGCTGGAATGAAAGAGATGTAGAGAAAGCATTAGAAATCCACGTGCACCGGAATACCTTGCAGCTTCGGAGTATCTCTCTAAGCACCTAAACACAGCAGCTTGGCGCAGGTGATTCCGGAAATAGGCTGGGTTCAGAATAATGCTCCTTTAAAAGATAAGAGAGATAAGCAAGTTTAAATTTCTAGTTCTTAAATCATTAAAAGCTGGTAGTAATGAAACTGTGACTAAGACACATATTGTATATATGTATTCTATACAACTCAACACCGTATATCTCAAATGTAATATGACCTATCACTTTCTCTCTTGACAGATGTGATATAACCTTGATAAAGATTTGAATAATGCTTGTTCATATATCATAAATGCAGTTCCGTTAGGGTTTTGTGTATTTTTCAAGAAAGAAGTTCCTGTGGCAATATTCTATATTGCCTTTAGCTTGTAGGTAACATAAGCAGAATTGGTACAGTACAGCTTCTTGTTAACCACCTAGCTCCAAAAATATGAGTGGCAGTTGTCTGACCCACCTACCTGGAAAAATTGTGCATCTAGAATGTATTTTAAAGTTAACTTGGAAGATTTTTAAATGCTTTCTGTACAAGTGATAGGTGCTATGTGGGTGGACCTTGGCATGTTTCTTAGACCCTAAACTACTGCAATTCCAGGTGTAACAAATTACAGGCTTTTAGTCAATATCAGAAAAAGATGAAAGGGTAAAAATAGCATGAACTGAGCAATTAGACTGGCAGGCAGGGTAGCCTTCTGATGTGAGCAGGGGAAGGGCAAGAGTGACAGCTCCGTCTACATTTAGTTAGTTCCACTTGTGAGATCTCCAAGAAGTGACTGGCTTCTCTGGTCAGCACTTCTCCCCATGCTTGGAGAAAAGGTACATAGAGCATGTTCTATGATCCGAAGATTAATATTTGTCATTACATACCTGTTTTGTAGAGTAATTAATAGTAGTTTACTGCATCAACAAAGAGATTAACACTGCATTGTGTTACAAAGAAAACTTGCAAACTGGATTTTGTTTCCTCATTGAAAATTTTGAATATCATGTTAGCATTAAAAACTACTTCTCTTGTACTTTCAGTCTACTAATAACCATGGAACTAATACTCTTCTTCATAACCAAATCATTTATTAAAGTTTATTAATTGTCTTGAAACAGTGACATAAATATATAAGTAAATGCATTCAGCTATAAATTCACATTTATGGAAACACCCAGTACATTTTAGAAGACCAATAACTGTCTTTTCTGTATGTATTCAGCACTCATGGGCTGTATGTCTGTGGCCTTCAGAAGGAGTTTTCAAAATAAATTAAAACCTAAAATTATCTCCAAGATGCTGTAGGCTGGTGAATCAAATTAACTCTTCAGGCAGGCACTCAGGCACTTTCTCCAAGGCACACAGAAGGTGGCCTAAAGCTCTGAACGGTTACATCTATGTTTGCAAGTAATTAGATATATAAGGAGTGAATCAGTAAATCAGAGAGGCTAATGTTGAGGCCCCTACATCTATATTGTAGGGAGCTGGGCTTTTATTCCAGGCTTGATTTAGTCTGTTGCCTTAAACAAAGTGTCCCTGTGCATGTTGCTCAAAGCTTTCTTGAAGGTCAGCCGTTGATTTGGATCCCTGTTCCTTCATTATGTGCTACTTGTATTTTGTGCACAGCTCATGCAGAACGTGCGGTTAGTTTTCTCTGAAATTATTAGTTTGTGAGTGCCAAAATTGCTCTGTGAATAATCTAGTGTGCAGAAAACGGAGAAAATTGGGTAAAGTGCATCACAATCCTACTAATGTGCCAAACCCAAATGCCTTAGGTAGATGTAACCAGTGACATTTTCAGTTCTGGCACAGTAAAGCTTTACTCTCTATGAGAAGAGCTGCTCTGCTCTGGAGGTGCAGCTCTGCTGAAGACCATCCTAAGGTGTAGGGACTAGGAAGCATCAGAATTATGCTTTCCCAGTCCAACATTTGAAAAAGTGCTCAGAGAACTGTATTGAGAGAAAGCTTTTCTCTGAAGGAGCTACCCCTCTGGGAAGAAGGTGTGCAAGAAAAAGCAGTGACAAATGATATCACGAAACTTAAGGCATTACAGGAGAAAGTGCAGACCTCAGTGACTGGGGGCATATCTAAATACTGAATTAAAATACAATGTACAAAACAGCATGGGATGTTAAAAATTAGTTGCTCTTAATGAATCACTCTTATTAGTAATGAAAAGATACTGCCAACAGCAAACACTGCAGTTCTTGGGCAAACGTGGTTCAGATTTGAAGTTTAGACAATACTGATGGTCACCAAAATTTAATTTAACGGAAACAAAATCATCAAAACATCAAATACTATTGGCATTTAATGATTTGGCCAAAACAGTAATACTTTACATAGATGACAAGTGGTACTTCTGCAAGCTATTTTAAAGGACATTATTGCTGCTGTAACCTGTAGTCAACAGCTGATAATAGTGACATTGATTTTTTTCTTTTTTTTTTATCCTCCCCCCACCCCCAAGCTATTGGTTCTACCACAGCCAAGCAATAGCACTATGAGGGGAAAAAATTAAAAAATCAATAATTCCCTGGTAGTTAGCAACACATTTTTTGTAAGTCTTTGAGCAGGATGTGCTGTGATAGGCTTGTAATAAATATAGAAGTGTGGCAGATTTTCATAGAATTAGATATCAGCTTTCCATTTTCCATCTTGATTTTTTACTAGTCTCAAAAAGATCAACTGCTTCTCTCGATCTATAAATTCTATACTGAAAAATATTATAGCACACCCTAAAAGCCTGAGCAAACATCAGAAAGCTACCTTTGACTCCTGGCAGTTTGATTTGATGTTGCTAGGATCTCTGTAGCCTATACACTAGAAATAATTTCTGCTGTATTACTACTCTATCCCAAAGTAGCCCTTTGCTGTACGGATGCAGCTCCAGTTTAGTAGCCTTTGTGCAGAGCAGTGCTAATTTAATGCCAGGTGTGTGCTAAAACTGTGCAGAGCTACCCCTTTGGCTTTTAAATCTGACTCTAATGTGTTTCAGGTGATTTTGGTGAGAAGGGGAAAAAAAAACATGAATGAAAGTAGAAAGCAAAGGAATCATACAAACAAAGGTTAAGAGGAAAACCCTAATTCCAGGAAGTTCTACTTCAAATAGGAGCAGATGGGGGACCCATCTGGCCAGGCAGAAATGTGCCAGGCTGTGCATACTGAGAACAAGTCCATGCTCCAAGATCCACCTCCAGCCATGAGCAGTCTTGATAGTAGGCTGGTTAATCCAGTAATTAATTAAGAGAGATGTATTTCAATAGGGAGTCTTGAAAGAGGAATTAGGAAGGGAAGAAGGTGGTGGACACACCGGCTGCAACACGGCTGGGACACTCTCTGTATGTGGGGATTTGTGCCATGAGCAGAAGCATCAGTCCTGTGGTCTTTCTTCTCATGTGCCTCTCATGGGAGCTTCAGATAGAAAAAGTAGTTTCGACAGGAAATGTCTGAAAATGGATAGCTCTTATTTTGCACAGAGGAAACTTCTAATCCGCAAAACTGCAAATAAAGTCACTACATCTGAAGATTAAAACTTGTGTTCTTGCCAGGTTTTGCCCTCATCTGTCAAATGACTAGGCTAAAGTAAACTTGAAATAGATTTTCATTTATTTTTCATCTTCACTGTAATCCAAAGACTGCCCTGTTAAAAGCCTTTCGTAAATCATTTGGTCAGTTTTTCTCAACAAAACAGTCCTTAAGTAATGCCGTATATCAGCCTCTTTTTTGACATTTTCATTTTTTCATCTTGACATCTTCTCTTAAAAATAATACAGTCTTTTTCCTATTATCTTTTCTCAAACTGTGAGGAGGGGGGGAAGAAGGCTTTAACTCTCTCCCCATCATAGCAGTTGGAGTATGCAAATCAAAGATGCACATGTTAGTCTGTGGGTTTCTCTCCAAGTTTTTCTTTCAATCTTACTGCCTGGTGTTAAGAAAACAGGTGTGGCAAGAAACTCAGATTGCTACATCAAAACTGACTGCTAGAAATCACATTGCCTATTCTCCAAGGTGCATGTTCTCCATCAAATTTCTTCCTGAATGCAACAGGGATTTAACTCTAATCTGACTGACATGAAAAAGGGCCTTTGCTACTATCCACCATATCATTTGTGTTTGGCCTTTGTGGGCCAAGAAAAACTCAATGAGATAGTTCTATAGATGAAACAAATGAAAAAATACACTTCACCACTAAAGCAGATAAACTATTTTTTTTTTTTTTACTAGTACTGTGAGTAAAAGCTAGCTTGTTCGTAGAGGTGCATGCAGTTATTTCTTTAATTAGTGTGGCAGAAGCTTTTTCTTTTTCATAGTTGTCCATGTGTTCCTGTGATACAGTGTGTTCTTATCTACAAATATATTTTAATAGTCAATTATAATTGACTGTTAGAGTGGAATTAGGTGACTTATCAGAAGTAAAACTTCAGTGCTAAAGCAATACATGCCTCTGCAGAGGGATGTAAAGCTAGCACAGGTCAGTGTGGCAGGGTGCTGTGCTGCACGTCCACATGTTGCTGGTACTGGCTGTACAAATGTAGTCGGCGAGGCTTTCGTCACCACAACATTAAATGCAATGTCAGTGCAAGTAATGTGTCAGCTAGTATTCAGCAGTTGTATTCAGTTGTTGTAGACTAGTACGACGTTTCATCTCCAGTGAATACTGTCAATCAGTATAGCTGATGATCCAGCCCCAATATACTTACAGATGAACCTGACAAATCCTGTACAATTATACTGAACCTCAACTTTCTTATTTTTCCTTGTTTCATCTATATGGCAAGTAGCTTATTATCTGTGGTGTAGTACTTGTTTTACAACTGAGTCTGCCACGCTCCATTCTGTGATCCCAAGGGCTGCTTTAAGAGTTCGCCTCTATTGGAGACAGTCAAATTCCTGGAGCTCAAATTCCTGAACCCTGTGGTAGCCAGGCATCGACCTAATCATATTTTCCTGCAATTTGCATGTTCTGCTATGTAATGACTTTATTTGAGGACCTCAGGGTGGTATGTTTGCTTGCAGCCAACTTTATATTCTAAACTGCTTCTCCTCCCAGTGCTGTTGTAGGGAACTAAGAGGGATGTGTCTTGGATAC